AACAAGAGGAAGTGATAAACCTATCTAACGATAATCTCTTGGCCAAAAATCTCATACACAAACTTAAATACAATGTGACAATCCACGATCTTGTTTCTCAAAAAAAAAAAAGACAATCCACAATCTTAACGTTAATTGGAGTTCTCACAGGAATCACAATCAAACCAAACTCAACCGCAAGTTCTCATAGCGAAACAACAAAAGCATGTGTTTAATTCTCGCATTTGCGCATATATATTCACTAAAAGCATGTGTGTTCCTAATTTCTCGACTTCAAAAATCATTAGCTTATTCTCAGAAGCTTTACAATGCTTGTAAATTTTAGCTGCACCAAGAACCACTCCCTAAATTGGTGCGTCCAATTTAAACGGTATAACTTTCTAATCGGATTAAACCAAAATTTGTATATTAAACTGTTTAATTACAAATTAAATAGCGTTTGGTCACCATTTTGAGCCCAAGTAAAGTGGTTATGACTTCGCATGAAGAGTATAGGCCACCAGGGTTCGAGCAAATATTGGTACCTATATATAGAGAGAAATTTCTATTCTTTCGAGTGAACTGTTAAAATATAATTTTATTTATTTTTACGTTTCAGATCTTCTCAAAAAGCCGTTTTGATGAAAAAAAAATCTATCATAAAGATCATGGTCTTTGTGATAGCGATTTGAGGTAATCTAAATTACCTCTTTTTATTATTTTATTTTTAATCAATTTGATAGCCTATGAGAAAATAAAGAAACGAATCCTTTTAATAAACAAGAATCTCGAGCCAGTTTTGATACCTTCGAACCGTTTCTGTTTTTTAGCGAACCGGTTTAGATTATGGACATTAACTTGATTGGGCCCAAAAGAGGTTTATTATATTCGAACCCAGTAAAAATGGTAGTGACTCAGCATGACAAGGGAGACGCACCAGGGTTCGAGCAAGATATTGGTATGAACCCGAAGGAGAAGAGGATTATTGATCTTCTCTCCCTTCCAACGAGAAAGTCTCGTGGAAGTTATTACAAAGGAGTTTAAGTATTCGAAC